ATTATTTCTCTTTCTTTTTCACCTTCTCCTCAACATGACTGTTTTGATTATCTCTTTCATGACAGTTTTTTTTCCTAAGCTTTTCTCAAAATATAAGAACTTTACTTTTAAATACTCTCCAAATTGCTGCGAAATGTAGTATGCCTCCTTTTTTTTTTTTTTTTTTTTTTTCATTTTCTGATTGCTTTTCATCATTTTATTCTCTTCTGCAAAGCAGCTGTATTGGTTGTTAAGATGGAAAAGAGTGCATTTTCCTGTCTGGCTGCCATTTTTGTTCAGTCTTAGAAAGACTCATCTGCTATACGTGAAAACAAAGCAGCCTTGATCCAGTCAAAGTCAGACCTCTGAGATCTGGCTTTTGAATCATTATGTTCTGGCTGTCATTAAGTATAGTCTTATGGAAGAAACCTATTAGGGATGTAGATCAGGATAAAGTTTGTATTCTGTATCTAAATATTAATAGTGAGTGATGTTTTGTCACTCACACCATGACTGTAGAAGCCCCACCTCTATTTCAGCTGTGTATACTTCTTGCTGGGTGGACTTCATAGTCTAAACAGGAGGGTATACTAAACTGATTATCAGGGTAAGAGGTTAGATTTGTTATGCTTGTCCTTCCTTTCCTTGTAGTCTTACAAAATATAAACACCTGATTTCTCTCTCTTCTTTTCTGTTCTCTCTCTTTTTCTCCTTTTAATTCTGGGTGACAGTTCTATGGTACGTTGAGCTAACCAGGGCAAAAATAAACAGCTTTGGTTCATTAACTGGAATTAAAAACTTGTGGAAGCTACATATGATGAACTCATCTCCATCCTTCCCCTAGTCAGATCTCTGAAAGTTCTTGTGATAATAATGGTATTTTCATCTAATATTTTCAGTTATTCAGGGAAAAATGAAAAAATATATATATTTTTTTGTTGTGGATTCATTGCTCTCTTCTGAAGTGACATAAAGGAGAATAATCTGATTCTGTGACAAACCCATTAGCCTAAATACCATTAATATCTGCCAATAATACATTTAATGACCTAAAACATTGTTAGCGATGGTCCTTGAAAGTCTTAGATGATTATTGGTGCTATCCAGTTTGAAAGTGTTAGATTAAGCTGTCATACCAGGTGTGATTCTGGAGAGAGCAATTTAGAAAAAGAGCATAATTTTGATTCCCTAAGAAAACAGTTTAGCCAGAAAGCAGTAGGACTGATTCCTGCATTCCTGATAATAAAAAAAATTCAGGGGAATTAACCTTATATTTTGGATGTCTAGACCAGATACCTACAGCTAATGGAATATTCCCCATCCCCCATTTTGTCTTCATTTCTTCCTCTTTCTTCTCCATAATTATTTGCTTAATTCATAGTATGTCAAATGTGTGCATTGTATATAGTAGCTTGTTAATTCAGGCATAGCTGGAAGCCTTTAGTGGTTATTGTGGGCCATCTGGAACATGAACTTTAATCTACACATGCTGTATTTTAAATGGTCTGATGGACTCATTTTCCAAAGTTTAATTTGACAGAAGAGTGGTTTTATCTGTTATATCAATTAAAGCGGAATCTATTTATTATCACTCAACAATATTGTTTATGCTAAGTACTATAACTGTTAAATGCATTATGTTGCCCATATGGTGGCTATCCTGTCATTGTCTCTCTGCTCAAATATATATTTCTATTGGACCTTTTGCTTCTGTTCAGAGCATGCTAATCAGGAATGTAATTCTGAAAGATAACCAAGAATTCAGCCCACAGAATTCTAATCAATGTGAAGGCTGAATATAGCAGAACAGAAAACAAAATGGAGATGATGCTATCCTACCTGAATTACTAAGCATGTTCTCCTATTAAATTTAACCAAAAAGGAAGTATTGTTCTACCTATTCTGAAATGATAAAAACATAGTGCCCAGTATATACTCACTTATCATGGCAAATCCGCTGTTGTTTAGAGAGCAAGCTGACTGTTAGTGTCACTATGCTCTTCAAAAGTAATCATTTGCAAGAGATCTACATGGATTATTCTTTAGCCTCTTTTGTGGTAGGGGAATACTGTTTTAAGGTATATTTACATTTTGGTAGTTGGAAGCCTTCCAGAAACATAATGTGAAGGTTTCTTTTTGTGTCAGTCCTAAAGAAATTCTGAAGGACGGACTTAAACTGAGTTCCCAAGTATTATAAAATGAGTAAAAATGAGTGTTGGGAGCAGTGGCATCTCTCTGATTCTTTTTCCTGAGCCTTAACAATGGCTAGTTACAAAAGCAGCTAAGAAGGCTCCATAGGTGATCTAGCACATATATTTTATAGTCCTTATAGCGTCCTAAAATCAAATTCCTGTTTTACTTTGAAGAATTCTTGGTTCAATGCATTATTACAGATTAATTATTCTGAGTTTTGGAAAACAGCCAGTTAAGATGGGCAGGAAGAGGAATGTTTGGTTTTGACCAACTACATAACAACTCTAACAGCATGTGACACTCTTTAAAACAATGCAACTTTGGGGGAATGTATGGGTACATATTTATTATATTTTTATCATTATGTTATTTATTTTTTTATCTTTATTTTTTTTTTAGCTCATGGTTTAATGGTAGGTGGATTATTGGAACTGATGATCTTAAACGTCTTATTCAAGAGAGAAATGATTCCAAGGGAGTTGCAGGCCATATTCCAACTCTGTCTTCTTCGACTAAATCCTGCAGTTGTCCTACGACATCCTAGTATTGCAAAATGTTACTTTAAATTTATTGGGCACATTTCTGAGAAATAAACATGAGCTCAAGGAACATGTGAAAAGGAAGAAAATTATTATTAATATTTTTGATCTAATTATTTTCTTTCTGTTGTGGTATCAGCACTTGCTCTGTACAGACTACTCCTGAATGTCATGAAATATTCAACCAAGACAATTGAGTTTTTGCCACCGAAGCAAAGAACAAAATTCTTAATTATGTTACTGATCTCCCAGATTCGCCCTGTGAAGTTGGTGCTGGGGAAGGAAGATCAAAAGAATAATTGCACAATTATATGAATCTTCCCTTCTCTTTAAAGGACTCTGGTTTTGAATGGGTCTTGGAAGCTGCAGCATGCTTCAGTTCTGTCTGCATTCAGGAAAATGTATGAATACCTGAAGCAAAAGCAGAATTTTCCATACTTAACACTGCAAAAAGGATGGGGTTACTGTGGAGCTTCTCAGGAATATCTCACCCTTTTAATTTAACTCCTGTGTTTTCCTAAAGGTGATCACCAGCAGGGAACTTGCACATGGCTTCAGTGTGGTCATACACTTCATTGTAACCAGTGCTGCAATTTTTGTACATAAAACTATCTTCAGTGCTTCATGGATTTTTAGTTACTTGTACTCAAAATATCTGAATGTTTGAAGTAGTAAGTTACTGCCAAATGCAAACGAAATGATGATTGTGATGTAAAGTTAATAGCAATTTCTGAACATTTTTTTGTTCAGGAAAATCCTGTCAAAGCGCTTTGAGAAAATGAAGGGTGCATCAGGCTAAAACTTGTATCAGTCTATGTTCCCAAATCTCCCCATAGAACCTAATTTTCAGGCACTCTTTCTGGTCTCGACTCTCAAAGTCGTACAGGATATGAGGTACTTGCATGCACAGCACCCATGGAACTGGGGATCTGATAACCCTGCTATAGCCCATGCTATAAATGGGAAAATTCTTCCAGAGGGCTCTGCCAGTCTACCTCATACATGAACCCTTTACTGCCTTTGTCAGTCTTTCAGAGATAAGATTTTCCATATGCCAGGCCATTTGTCCAATCTGTAGCACAAAATTTTGTTGAGCAGAAGGAGCACAGACAATTGGATAATTGATTAGTCTTTTATTAGAGCAGGAATATTTACTGAGGCAGAAAACTTGATACGAGGATTTTGTCATTTAAGTAAATAGAAATAGTGACCATATCTGTTTAGGCACTGCAAGTGTCAGTGCAAGGTAAACAGTCAAACTGAGACAACAAAGAAATATATGAAGTATGTGCTGTATTGTCTTATCTCAGCTGCTTGGTGATGGAATGAATGGATCACCTTTGCAACTTTGCAGGCTGAAAAAATAATTTATACGCATGTTTATAAAAATTAGTCTCACAGCTACTCCATCTTAAGGTGTTCATTTTTGGATCTTGACAAATGCAGTCCCTAGGGTTGAGTATGGTGGTAGTAAAATGACTGATTGCAACATTTATCATCATGGCGCAATAACAAATAGCTCAGTCTGGCAGCCATCATTTTCCTAAACCCTTTTGTCAGTAAGTATGTGCTGACATAACTTTCATGGCAGTTGTATCTCTGTAGCCTGACTTTATTCCCTAATCCTTTACCTCATAATGTAAAGCATTGCTTCATAGATCCAGATGTGGTCCAGGCAATGAAAAGAAGCCAAAACCAACTCATCCTATTACTCAAAATACTTCAGTGTTGACACAGTGAAAGGACACTACACATTCAATTAAGGGCTAATAGTTTGGCCTAGCTCCTAGAAAGGAGCCACAGCACTGTACAGCAGTAGTACAATGCTCATTTCAGTGAGCCTATCATTGTAAAATTTGACAATTTCATGTATTCTGCACTTCATGGATTTAGGTTAAAACGTAAAATTTAATTTGGGCACAACCCACCCAAGTTGTGAGTGCCTTGTTATACGCACTGAACTTCAATACTCACTGTGAAGAGGTAGTGTTATTGGTGGATTTTGTATTGGTCATGAGCTGTTTACAGAAACTTGATGAATTGAGCTCAAGTAGAAAGTTATCTTTCAGTGACAGATTATATATATAAAATCTATAAAATCTCCAAAAATTTAAAAATGTCTAATACTTCCTTGAATGATCACAGAACTATGTTACTAGCTGGCTTCTGCCTGGAGAGCACAGTTATCACATTTTCAAGGTATAAAAAAAATATATATATATTGTCTTCACTACAGCATCCAAACAGATAGACTGTTTTCTCTTGACATTTTTGTTTGTTTGTTTGTAGTTTTTTTCAGAAACAGGCAAAGTAATAGCTGCTGTATGAATTCTGCCAGAGTCCAACACCCATGTTGCATAAGGGTTGAGGAGACTGATCTGGAATCCCAGTTGACAACACGAAGATGAACTCTCAGGGCTTGAGGTCTTGGCCATACATCATACAGATCTGTAAGTGGCTGTTCATTAACATAGGAACAAGTTCGAGTTGAGACTGTGGTGTCCTAGCAACAGAAAGCAAAATGTATGCAATTGTTTAATGCCTTAATTTACCAACTCCTTCATTTTGCATTCCACATGAATTTGAGATGACAGCACCAATATATATATATTTGTATGCTTGTATATATACATAGATATTTTATTCAGTTATAGGTATATGCAAATACACACACACATACATATACATGTGTGCATTCCTAGAATATATGGATACCTCAAATTATGATCAGAAAAGATTTGTTCAAATTTCCATTTATGCTGTTGTGGAGGAAAGAAATAGATTTAAATGCAGAAACAGGTGAAGAGTCCATTATCAAATGAGTGACCTTGATATCATGGCAGTTTGCTGCATCATAGTGTTAGTCTAAGAACCTTTATAAAAATATCTTTTTACAAAACAAGGCAAGACATTAATGTGTTTAAAATATCCTCTAATGAATTCTGATTCTTTCTGTGCTGAAATCCAAGTGCATTTACAGATGGTTTTACCATATTCTATCCTATCGCAAAGAAAGAAAAAAAGCTGAAATTCAGCTGGCTGGTTTCTCACTACTTCTCTAATCTGTCTATAATTTTGTGCATTTAGTCTGTGGGAGAGGTTGGATAATTAAAGAATTCCATTACCTCAACTGCTTAAGCATTGTTACCTCCAGAGTTGGATTCAAAGAAGACTTTTTTTTTGTTGTTTGACTTTTGAGGGAAGAACCTGTTTTTGCAGAGAAGGATTTCAAAAGCAATAAGAGAAGAATATGAACATAAGAGAAGAATATAAACATGCACATAAACTGAGAGGATGCATTCTAGCTTTGTGTTTATAGCACTGACATTTTATTTTACCTCTTTCTCATCATTGTTGAAAAAGTGTTTTGTATGACTTTTAGAAGGAAGTTCAATGGTTCCTTCAAGAGATGTTTCTCAAAAGGCAGAATTGGAAAGCCCACACTTATCTCCTACTATTGATCATTTACTTCTGAGTCTGTGCCTGAAACAAGGGACAGTAATGGCCTATAGGTACTACTTCCACCCTACAGGGCTGTATAAGGCATGGTCAGCAAGCTACAGAGCTATATGGAAGAAGAAGAAATAAATTTATTCTGGAATACTTTTCATTTCAGTGGATAAGAATACTTATCCTTATAACTGGTTAACACTCTGTGAAAGTGTTAGCCAAGTACAGGCTGCTGATCTGAGAAAGTGAGAAATATTTGGACTGCCTTAGCACTTCTTCCCACCAAGCTACTTCTAGATATTTCTTGCTTGGTTTAAACACATTATTAGCAGGGGAGAGACAAGGAATTTCTTTTTTCCTCAATGACCCACTGTCTTCTCCTGCCCTCCCACAATCCTTTTTGTCTCTAGACATGTCTCTAGATGGTAAAAGGTGAAAAGGTTATTCCATATAATCCTGTAAAGGGGTTTTGTTGTTGTTTTTGTTGTTTTGGTTTTGTTGTTGTTCTTGCTCTTGTTTTTTAACCTGTAACTCAATGGGTAGTTCAATTATATGACTTCTCAATATAACACAAGCGCTGGGCATCTCATCAACAGAGCTGGGGTGGGAACAGATTTCTTGATGGTGTAAAAAGGCCTCCCTATCTAAAATACAAAGAAAACAAGTTATTTCAAAGGTTTATATGGGGAAATGGAAGTTATACAAGAATATTTAGCAGCTTTGTGGCCTAGTTACCACCTAGGATATGGAAGATAGTCATTAGATACAGGAGCTTACCTCATCTCGGGGCTGGACCCTGATACTGGCTCATGAATGTCTTCCTCTCCAAGTCCAGGTTTTCCATCATGGACCTGAGCAATTTTCTTAAGAAAACATGTTATGTTTTCTTAAGATGTTGTGTTCCCATATATGTTTTATGTTTGGAGGAGCATCAGCCCTGAAGAGGGCTATGTCCAGTGACTAGTCAATTGACTAGGACTGGATGCATCTTTACCGTGCAAAGGGCAGGAAGCAGGAGCAACACAGCCAGTTCTCCATGCTGTTGTCCTTGGGCTGTTCAGTACCACTCTAACCCCACTAGGTTAATGACACTGCTCTGGGGGCCAGATAAGTCATGCTCTGCATGACTTATTCTCTCACCTGGCATTTCTAACATGCCCCCATGCTGCTCAGTAGAGAAAGGTCCTTAACTGGTGGTTGTGTTAGCGAAAACACATAGGCTTGGGCATTAGTCAGTCATCAGGGCAGAACTGAGAAAAACTGAAGTCCTTACAGACCTGATTCTCATAAATCTTTCCCTGGATGGGAATGACTTATTCCACTCTTGTCATATTCAAAGCAGGTAAATGTGAGTATTTATAGCACCACAGAATTGTAGCTAACACTTCTTCACCCAGTCTCAAAATTTATGGTAACTTACTTTTCTAACTGCAGCAATTTGCTACAGGCCTTAAAAAGGATTTTGAGTATAAAACGCCTTGGGGGATGGGGGGAGTGGAAAATAAATCAATCTCTGATGATCACAAAGTATTATGGTCACCATATAAAGCTGTACATTCATATGTGACACTTAAATTGGAAATGTGTGTGTGTGCAGCAAATTATGCAGGGAGGAGAAATGTCTGAATTCAAATGATAGTGCAGGTCAGGGGAATTTCACCCCTTCAGATACTTAGTCTAAAAAAGACTCTGTATTTTGCAAGGTAGTTGCTCTTTACTAGCACATGGTAACCATGATTACCAATGTGTTTGCCAGGAGAGAGATACTCAAGAAAATTCCTACCCATCCTGTTGGGGCAAAAAATTTTCCCTTGTGGAGCTACAGCTGGGTCTGTTTTCACTGCTGCACCTGGTATGTTCCTGATCTAAACCCAGCCCCTGTTTTCTCCAGTAGCTGGCAGGGAAGAAGTGTGCAAGCACATTCGCATGTATGTTCAGCTCAGTGCTCCTCTGAACATGCCTTTGATGCCTCTGAACCTGTGGCTAGCCTTTCAGGAGCAAACTGAAATCCTGCTGCCATCCGCAGACAGATTTGTTGCCATGTGTCACTTATTGTGGCTGTGACTATTTGCCTAGTAGCCCGGAGGGATCGCTATGGTGTCATCAGTCCCTGTGGCCTCTTCAGCTTGCCTTTGCCTGTCAATAGCTCTCTGACTTTTTCCTTTGCTGTAGGTCACATGGACATTTCAGTCTTGTACCTACCTCTTGAATAGTTGCAGATCAATTTCTGGTGCACAAAACCATGGTCATTTTCACTTCTCACAATGATGTAATTCTCTAGAAGATCAATCAAAGAAAACGTTATGTACAAACTGTATCATACGTAGTAAGCGAAGGGTATAGCTACAATATACAGCTAATGACAGCAAATCAGATAAACTTAAATAGCATCTCCCTGGTGCTGTGAGGTGAATATTTTTCTCCCGTCTTCTCAAAGTTTCCATGCCAGCAATATATTATGATTTGACATTTAACATTTTGTTCTATTTTACTTTTGGCTGGGAGGGGTTAGACAGATTCTGTGATGTCCCACTCTCAAAAACTGAAATTAGGTTTAGAGGTATGTGTGTGTGCATATGCATATATGTTCACATAAACACCCGAAGACATTTTAACTCTGTTGATAACTCAACAGGAAAATTAAGTATGTGCTTTATTGTTATCCTCTTCTGAAAAATAAAGAAAAAAAAAAAAAAAGTGAGTGGCTCAAAAACTAAAGCACTCGAATATTGCAGATAACAATTATGTAATGGTGACTACTACTTGGTCTGGGAAGCATCATTTCTTATGCATATTTCTGTATTTATCGATGTATTATCTTAATAAGAGGTATTTTAGAACGGTATTGCTTTAAGTTTGTAGGTTTCACTGTGGACTTGGCTAGGCAGAATCTGATTTGGATTTATTGAAGCAGATGTTAAGCAGAGAGAAGAGACTGACATGTCTGTAGTGGTTCTGTAACTGTCTGAATTATTGTCAAAATGCTAGCACTGGCACATCTCTAATTTAATACACATTTCAGCAGTGACCATGGTAATAAAATCTAAACTGTCTCGTTCTTCTTTCATTAAAGGCAGAAAGGGAAAAATAAAAGGGGGTGGGGGTTGGGGATGGAGAAAGATCTGTATCGATATGAATACAGAAGTGCTTCTGATCGACATGAAAGTGTCCTTTTATCAAAAACAAACACAAGAAACAAGAAAGCAAAGAAAGATTAATTTTGTTGTTATAATGCATTATCTATTGTGGGGTGTGTTCTTTTTAAACAAATGTGATGTTTCAACAGAATTCACCATGCACTCAAATGGTTAATTGCAAAGCTGCCCTCCAAAGCACCATGTCTCATTTCTAAACTGTACATCTCAACTCACAAGAGAGAGACAAAAGATGAAAACAGCTTGGATCTCAAATTTAGAAAATTAATAAAAACTAGATAAATAGCATGAGTCCCCTACAGTGAAACCTGTCTGGGTTTCAAAGACATTTAGGGGGCTCCTGTACTTCTGTGATCCATGATAGGTATTGTGGCTACTGGGGTGCTCAGGAGATGGGAGCTCCCTCACAAAGAGCTAGGGACTGGAGCCAGTCCATAGAATCAGGGCACCTACACAGAAGACAGACCCCAGCATGGATTCTGCCTCAAACAGGGGCTAGGGCTGCTCAGGTGCTTGATCTTTGTGTTTGGGTTGTCTTTCTGAAAGCTGCATTGCAGGAACAGAAAGGGCTACTGCCATGTCACAGCAATACCTTTTCTTAACAGGTTAGACAGTTTCAGCTGCTTGAGAAACAAGTGCCTTCATTTAGCTTATGGATAATTCCTGAAACAAGGCACTTCTTTTTGCATCAGCTGACACTAGCAGAAGACAAGCTTGAAGTCAGTGGGAGCTAGGGGTTCTATCTAGGACTGCAGAAGCTAAAAGTATCTTCAGAGCTGTGCTGTGAAAGGATATTTTTCATCCTAGTAACCAGCCAAATTAGGAATATACCACTGTGCTTAGAG